TATTAGTATATAGTATATATATTATATATATATATATATATATATATATATATATATATATATATATATATATATATATATATATATATATATTTATATATATGCATTAATTATTCATATTCATATACATATACATATACGTATACATATGCATATTCATATACATATACGTATACAAATGCGTATACATATACGTAGTATCTGCGCAGACTACGTGTAAAATGAAGGACTGTAACTTTACCTTACACAGAAAAATTACATCTACATAACTATGGACCGTGTGGAGTACAAATTATAACATACTGCATCTGAATTGATTAACTCGAGGTTCTAGCTTTAGGGAGTTCCTGACTTGGAATAGGCGTGCTGACAGTATGATACATACACCCAAGATGTGAGAACATCCGATGATATTTGTGCATATCTTAGGCATACTGCAGAAATGATGTGCAATAGCACATTTGTAATCATACTCTACTGGTATATGCCTAGGTCTACGTGCTGTCAGAGAAGATCTGCGTGCTGTCAGAAAAAATCTACAAGCTGTGCATGTCTGGGATTGTGCAAGCTAACACTATGCCACATGGCCAACACACCGGATTCTTCCGATCTTACTCGTCTTGCTTGTGCATGCCTGTTACTGAAATATTGTATGTATCCATTGTCCAACGAAATCATATCATGCAAATGAACACGACTACAAAGTACAAACTAATAAATTCATGTCCTAAGGCTAATATTTACAACAACAACAAGGTATAGAAACATAAACAAGCAATCTTCAAATACATACAACCTACATAGCCAAAATAAAGTGCTTTTAGGTCTGTTGGCCAATACAATACCCTACACTTTTAATATGTAGTTCAGTAAATAATATATGAAGTCCAATCGGAAATATGTACCAAGCTTGTGGACCATAGGGAGTGTGGGCCAGTGACGTACATACTGACTACTCATCAGTACTCACAGTAGAGCGTAGACACTCGAGTGCCTGGCATATTCTCTTGACACCTGACACAAATATTTAGACAGCCTGTCTGTCACGGATGACATTTGACATCTTGACACGCTACACACTATTGATTCATGATTGTAGTGGTCGAAATTCGAATGGTCCCATTCTATTAGTCAAATGCAGTCATAGAAATTGTGGCGCGTAAGCACCCTCTTGCGTAATCGACTCGTTCTTAGGACTGTTTAATTTTCAGAAGGCTACGAGAGAGGCTATGTAAATGAATATTAAGAGATATGGCGTTAGTACCGCCTAACAATAGTATTATAAGTAAAATCAGAACAAAAGTTCGCAGAAGCGCAGGAACAAAATGATAGCCGACTTCAATATTATCACCTGAACTAATAAAACAAAAACATGTGTTGAATAAATGAATAGCCGAGAAAGATACATACACAGACCAGCTACAAACGCAAACATACGTTTATTTATATTGCATGTTTTGAAACAATATAATAGCACAAAATACGTATAAAATAACCTAGCAAGCCCATCTCAACGTCATAATCATCATAGCATGCAAAGAACGCCCTAAACACAATGGTACAAACAGTCCTAGTAACCGGAGCCAGTGGCTTCATCGCCCTGCATATTGTCGAGAAGCTGCTGAAGGAAGGCAACTTCAAGATACGCGGCACCGTCAGAGACGTCAACAATAAGGAGAAATGCAAGCCCATCTATGATCTCGTAAAGGATCCAAAGTACCCCATCGAGGTCTGTAGGGTGGTTTTGTGTATTTTTTTGTATGTGTATGCACGATGAAACTGAAATCGGTTGCGCGTTTTGTAGTGGTCTAGCAGGAAGTCATTCAATTACGTGCATTAAAATCTCGACAAGGATTTCTAGTTTCTACTCAAGTATCTTACATAATTATGAGAGTTGTATGTACACTTGTGAATGTGTGACCAAGTTAATAGTGTATCTTATGGTATTTCGGTTGATGTGTCAGTGAGAGACGTGACGAATATGTGATATGATGATTTCACGATCTTGTGAACAATGTCAATGTTATAAATTTATTGACGATAAATATATATATATATATCTATATATCTATATATCTATATATATATATATATCTATATATCTATATATCTATATATATAATAGTACGTATATGTATTATTGTATGTAATATATAATGTAATGTTCAAAGCTCGAAGTCATTCCGTTTCATGATTAGATGCATGTGTTGTTGCGTAGAGTGTACTAATGTATGCATGTATATATATATATATGTATATGTTGTTGCGTACAGCGCGCCTCGAAGATCATTTAGTTTTCAAGTAGTTCTCGTTCCTTTTCCGAGGATTAACTCTTGGTGCAGTATACTTTGTGAACAATAAGTGTGACTTTTAGTTTGTGTGCGCCCTCAATCGAGTATTCCAATCACATATGAAGCGGTTTGCTCGGAATTCAGTGAACGCTTATCTGTATGTTTACATGTAGAAAGAGGTATGAATCGAATCAAACATCGTGTACGTTTATATATCCGTCGTGTAGGTTTTATGTGCATGCGGAGGGTATTACATATGGGGGGGTCATGATAACCTTTTCCCTTACATCGTCGTCCTACACAGGCACTGTACCATCTCATATAATATACTTGATTAGTATTGCTTATTTTACCTGATTATTTTAAATTCTCAGCTTGTACACGCCGACCTGGGAGAAGATAAAGGATGGAAGGAGGCCGTAGAAGGAGTGGATCTGGTACTGCACACAGCATCTCCCTTCTTCTTTGCCGATCCCGAGAAGAGTGAGGAAGAGCTTATCAGACCTGCTGTAGATGGTAATGTTGTGTCTATTTACACTGTCAGGTAGACCTTTAACGCACCATAATGTACTTATTAACGGCTGGCAGATGTATCCCATATTTTTTATTGGCTAAGCGTATATAAAGTCGTAGGTGCACTTCAGACCTGTCGTAGATGGTATGGTAATGTTGTAATGCAAGCACATGTTTCCTATCCATACGTATCCCTTACAACTAACAAAGTATATATAACCTTTGTGTTTACTTCTAACATAGTCTTTACACATATCAGTGGTCTTTACTCATAACATTTGAGCTTACTCATAACATTTGTCTTTACTTATAACCTTTGTCTTCACACAGGTACTAAACGAGTGATGGAGGCTTGTGCTGCAGAGGGATCGAAGGTGCAACGCTGCATCGTCACGTCCTCTCTTGCGTCGATTATGGGCTGTGAGAAGCCCGAGGGCCATATCTTCACCGAGAAAGACTGGAGTGATCCAGAACAATGTGATGTATGTTCAGCATGTAATTCTGGTTGTGGTTCGGAATGGATGTTAGTGGATTTCAATGGGTGCATCAGCGGATGGATATATATACAGTGACTTTAAACAACGTTATTATGTGTCATATGGCTTTGCAATGTATGCGGTGTATATGCGCTGCACACGTGCATGTTCTTTGCATATTGCCTATCGTCGCATATCTCCTGGGTTTTAGTTTTATATATGTGTTACATCCAACTTTGACCGTTTGTCTCCGACTTAATGACAACTAATGTCTTCTCATTCAATACAGGGCTACCGATTGAGTAAAACACTTGCCGAGAAGACCGCATGGGATTTCGTGAAATCCAACAAAGGTCATACTTTCGAGCTGGCGACTATCAATCCATCAATGGTAAGTGGTATATACATGTATCTTTAATAATTCATATATATTATATATATATATATATATATATATAATTACATTCAAGATAAATAATATATGAGTGTTTGGATACAGTAGGGCATTAGTCTTTCATATGATAAGTTATGTGTATTATCATTCAAGTTTACACCTGCCAATCTGCTTTATTATGTCTGATACACATACGTTTACATTAGGGTTAGCTCAGGTTACTCGCCTGCTTGTGTTCATGTATGTTGACTTTCACTTCACATCCTTCAATGTTTCCAATACATCACTCGTACGCTGACAACTGCGACGTACCTACTGAATCTCAGGTGATTGGTCCCGTCCGTGGCCGCCCAGGCACCTCAGTAAACATGGTCAAGGCTATGATGAAAGGTGAAAAGCCTCAGATGGTCGGCATTGGCTTTGTAGATGTGCGGGAGGTAGCCGAGGCTCACGTCAAGGCGCTGACAATGCCTGAGGCCGTGGGTGAGCGATTCATGTTGTCGGCTGATAACTTGCTAATGAAGGACGCCGCCGAGTGGATCAAGGAAGTGTACGAGTCGAAGGTATGTAGGCAGAGAATTGTAAAGTATGATATGTATATATATTTAATATATACAAGATATTTACACTAAAACTATATTTAAAATTTTTGATGGTCATGGACGTATACAGTTCAGTAGATGTGTGTTCATTTGACAATAAAGTATTGTACACGTTTTGCTGATTGCTAGGCTTTAACGATCACTGTGCATTGGCATCCCACGTGTGTAGTACGTAAATTTAACTCTGCTCGTATTACGAGTATACACCATACGAATCTGACGTGCACATATGTCGGATAAACCCATGTTTTCGTCAGACAGCGTTTGTGCGTTTGATCTCGCTACTCTCTCCCACGCAGTTCATTGGATTATACGCCCCCGTATGCACAAGGATCTTTTCGCATACATACACACTCTATACGTCAGCTCACATGTCCATATTCACACATGTCTGTAGGGGTATGGACCGTTCGACTATATCAACGAGATGGAAGGCGACCGCAAGAAGATTCCTAAGTTGGCAGACGGTTCCAAGGTCACTACAGTGATGGATGTTAAATACCATGATCTGAAGCAGAGTGTGTTAGACACCTGCGAATCTCTCATACAAAACGGGCTGGTCAAGCCTGAATAAATAAACGTATAACTGTACTTGAAAATATACATTATTATACATACAATTCCACGTGTTTCATTTACAATTAACGTGATGGGCGGTGTATGGAACATTGTTAATCCCACGCTTCGATACTTAACACAAATCTGATATTTTAAAAATGAACTATAGATACATAATATATATTTGATTATATATATATATTAAAGCATGAATAAATATATATATATATATATATATATACAATAAAACATATACACATATAGATATATATATATATATATATATACATATATATATATGTGTGTGTGTATTATATTACTTGT